CCCCAAAACCCCAAAACCCCAAAACCCCAAACTTAGGTTTTAATATTGAAACCTACTTGAAATGCTGCATTAAATGAGATTTTTTATTTGGCTACACTTTAGTCTGAGTCTGATGGTTGATTGATAACATCTTTGCTTGTGAGGATGAAATTGAGATTGTATCCCCCGAGCATTGAGGGGAGAATAGGTATTTGCAGATTAGGAGATTGGGATTTGTCTATTTCGTTTTTGGATTTCATTTTCTAGAGGTTATAATTAGAGTACAGGAGGGTGAGAATGGTCCCTGCTAAGTTTTCTTGGAACTTTTGGAATTCCTTTACTTTCTTCCTTTGATTTATATGCTCGACATCTGTTTCTATATTTCTCATATCGCTTGACAAGCTCATTATATTCTTCAATATCTTTCTCGATCTGCTTTTCTAATTGGGCATTAGTGTTCTTAAGCTCTGTATTTTTATTCTCAAGTTCTATATTTTTCTTTTTAATTTCTTTTTTCTTTGCTTTTAATTTTAAATATTTTTCTTTTAGTTCCTCGCAGTTATGTTCTAACTCGATATTTTCCTTTTGAAGATATTCATTGCCAGTAGTTGCTATATTAATATTACTTTCTTCTCTTGAGATTTTTATACCGGAGATATCAGCTTTTGGATCTTGGTCTAGATCTTCTTGATCTCTGCGGTCTCTTGTAGTTTCCTAGGATTTAGATTAAGTGTACTTACGTTGAAGGACTCTTCTAATATAAATTTTTTCTTCTGTTCCAGTTGGCTTATTTCACTCTTTAGTGAGGTAATTTGTTCTTGTAATTGTTGCTTTTTCTCTTGAAGGAGAATTATTTGATTTTCAAGATCGTCGGCTTGTTTTGAAGGTATTGGAGAATCACAGTTTGAGAGCTCTACTTTCTCATCCTTTGTTTCCTCTCTTGAGTCTTGATAGTATTTTTCACCCTTTGATGATTCTATACCCTTATCTTCTCTTTGAATTTTAGTTTTCTCTATCTTTAGGACCTGCAAAATTGAATCTACGAACCTACTCTTTTGGAATATTTCTTCACTAATGAATCTAATTGCTCATCTCTTTCTGGGAGAGGCAATGTTTTAAATCCTAAAGGTCACAAGAAGCCTTACATATCACTATATTAATATTTTAGAAATTGCCATGTAAACTATGAAATGACTAAAATCTACCTATTCTTTTTCCTCTCATTTCTTGCTCATTTTCATCTATGTATTCTTTGAGTGTCTATTTATAAGAGAACTTTCTTACCTTTAGTAAGATTGCAATATATTGTTCCTCTGAGATTTCAGAGTCTTCAGTACAGAAAGTTGGAATCATTATAGATTCTAGGTGTTAGAAGGTTGGTTACGAAATTCATGGTCAAGCATAATGTCAAGAATTGAAAGAATAACTTTCTCAAGTAGTTGAGGTACACTTTCGTTATTAGTAATTGGAGGTACAGCTGCTATTATGTTGTTGAACTCTAAATTTCCTGCAGGAAAAACAGTTGCTAATCCTGTCCTAAGTCTGAAATGCTGGTTCTTGTATTTTGTGCAAGCTTCTGTAAGTTCTTTACCAGCATTTGAAACTAATTCTTTATACTCATTATCGAGGTATTGAATTCTCAACTGTTCATTAAATGGAATGACAGTTGCGCTGGTCATCTGATATTCAATATTATTTTGAGTTTTTAACTCTATTCATCAGTCCTGATGTTTGGTACTAACTGATGAATTTCAATACTTTTGGAAATTTTCTGTTAATTTTTTCTTTTCTTGCAGTAAAATAGACTCATATCCTGAAGGTTATCAGAAAAATACCTTTTACTCTTAACTCAAGAGAGCTCCAAATTAAAAATTGTGCTTTGTTATCCGAAATTCTTTTTATTTGATTAGATGTTCTATCATTCGACTCTGATAGCTTAGCTTCTTCTTGCTCTTGATTAGATATAGAAAGCCCAAATCTGTTTTCTCTTTCAAATTTGTTATAAAATGATTGTGTATCTCTCGAATCTGGCTTGTTTTCACTTTTAGGCAAAATATTTTTCTCTCTATTTTCTTTTATCAATGACATAGTGCCATTAATTTTATCTTCACACTCAATGATCAAGTCTATACGCTCAATAGTCTACTTACCTGAAGCCAATTTATTTTCTTGAAAGATTCCCTTTACTTTTTCTACCACTTGTTGACAATAACTAGCAGTTTTATTTAGCGTTAGCTGTTTTGTAGCAATATCTTCATTATGAATCTTAATTTCCTTTTCTAAAATATTTTTGGTGTTTTCTTACTTAGTTTATCGAGAGATTTGATGATATTATTTTGAACAACTTGGCTCATATTATTTGGCGGATTGATTTCCAAAATTTTTCCTTTTATTTCTAAACATTAAAATATTAGAGAAGATAAAACAAATATATGTTTAAATCCTTTAATTTTATACAATAAACATAAAATTTGATTTTTGGTGAGATATGTTAATAATCACTCTCTAAATTTGTATTTTTGTAAAACCATAATTCTATTGGCTTTTTATTAAAAAAATTGAAGTTAGATTATTCTTATAATTACTTTCAGTAGTTTCTTTTGATATCCAATTGGGATGGCTTCAAATTGTTCATTCAATCTTGAATTTCCCTAATGTCTCATTGTAATAAAAAGAATTGTCTTGAGAAGTTGATAAATTCTTTTCAATTTGATCTAGCATAGCAGCATTTTCAGAATCTTTATATTTTTGGTTCAGATGAGTCCATTCCGAGGATTCTTTGGATTCTTCGTTATAATTATTCTTTTTGGCAAAATGATTTTCATTTAATATTTTTACTTTGTCTCCATTTGGGAATATTATTTCTTTTTCAATTTGTTCCAAATTCAGTTGTAGATTATTAATAGACAAAATAAGATTTTTAAGGTATTTGTCAGTAAATCCAGAAAGAATAGTATTCAAGAAATCTGTGTAATTTAAATCTTCAAGTAGATTGTTCGAATTTTGTGGATTAGAGCCTATAAAAGTATTAAAATGGAAAAAATTAAAAATGTTGCTGACCTTCCTTTCTGAGCTCTGATTTTAAAAAAAACTTCAAAGAAATAACTACTTCCTTGAGTTTGTCCATATATTCATCAAAATAATAAAAGTTCATCTCTCCGTTTTTGGTAATATCATTAATTAGTAGAACTGGATAACTTTGTTTCGAGTAATAAGTTTCGAAAATGCTCAATAACGATATCAACTCTTCTTGTATTTCGGAAACTAAATGATCGTAAAAAGTTTCATGTTCTTCAATTCCTATTTTTATGCAGCATAATTACTTTTGACTCAGTTTTTTAAATCTCTTCTCACCTATTTTGAGATTAGAAGTTATATTAAGATAATATTTTAGGAGGAAAATTGTTTGGAGGGAATCATTCTAAAAATAACTACTATAAAACTTGAAAGTGAAAGACCAATAAAAGTAAAATAAATATTACAGTTTTATAATATTTTGATTAAACAAAAGCTATACGTTTCAAAATATTAGACAACGCTCATACCGTTACAATTCTATTCTAAAACTTATATGGCTTTTCAAAGATAAATTAAGAAATAATTTGCCCCGTAATTTTCTTAACTTCACTTCTGAAAATACTCAAATAATCAAAGTAAAGGTTTATAATGCACAATTCTTACAGGGATTATTGTATTTTCTCTATATCCAGTATTTTGATAACGATTTATTGTGTCGCCAAGAGTTTTCTATTTAGATTTAAAGGTATGATAAATTACATAATCATTGTTAAGATAGGTTAACTGATTCTTCAAACTTTTACATTTTGATGCTTTTGTTTTTAATTCATCTACAAAGGAATTTTAAGCCCAGTCCGGTTAATTCTTATTACCAAAATTTATGTTTTCAAGAACTTGTAATTCAGAACTAATTCTCTTTGATTCTTCACTTTCTTTAATATCTTCAAAATGTTTCTGGGATTGAAGATCTTGAATTGCTTGGTAAACTTCAGAACTATTTAAGTAATTCTTAATGTTAGTATCCAGAGATTTAAACACATTCAGGGTTGAACCATAATGCTCTTTTGCCTGAGTCAGAGCCTCTTTGATCTTATTGGCATCAATCAGAGTCTCATCTGTTAATAAATTTTTTGTCCTTACCTTTTAAGTTTTCTGTTATGTTTGAGTTTGATTTTTTGGGGATTGAGTCATCTAGATTATAAGTTTGGGATTTATGAGAGAGATTTGAGGTAATAGAATTTAGATTTACATTGATATTCATTCAAAAAATTTTTATTGTGTTTCTTTCTAGAATCTACATATTTTTTATCGTTTAATTTTCCAAATGATGGGTTTACTCTATAGAATTAGAGGGATTATTTTCACGCACGGTCTAAAATTGCGATCGGGATCATTTAAGAATTTAGATCCATTAAATCCTGGTGTATTATTCAATTTTCCAGGTACTTCATCTTCACAAAAATCAATATTCTCAGGCTCTCCATTTTCGTTCTGGATGATCTCCTCTAATTCTTTAATCAATTGATCAATATTTAGTATCTTTAAATCTTTGATACCAGAACTTGGTAATTTATTTATGATGTTGCATATCTCTTTAATGTTCTTTTCTTGGGTGTCTATAAAATCAACAATATTCCAATTTATTGTTCTCTTCTGATTAGGATCAGAGAGAATAAATTAAAATAAAAGACTTACCTGTGTTGTTGGAGCTACTTTTTAATATAGCTTTTGCTTCACCAATGCTTTCTTCAAGCTTTACTCTGAATTGTTCAGATCTATTTAATTCTAAAGAAAAATTATGGAAACAGGCATTATTTGAACCTTTAACTGAAGGGTTTATTTATTTATTTATATTTAAGAGCTAATATATCTGTCAAAACTTTGCAAAAATATCTTTGATTTAGATAACAAGAGTCAGACAGAAAGGATCTTCTATTTTTGTAAAAACTTTATGATCTTTAGGCAAAGCTGCATTAGGATAATAAGAGCTTAATATTCCTACCTTCCTTTGAAGCCTGTTCTTCAATCATTTGGTTTTCAAGCCTAATATTTTCCTGAATTTCATCTACAGTTTTCTGAATTTCTTGTTGATATTCACCAGCTTTCTCAATCCTGTCCTTAATCTGTTGTCCTCTTAAGTCTCTGTCATGGTCAAGTTGTTTAAGATCTGGCTCAATAATTTCTCTCTCCATTGATGCTACTTGTTTTCATATCTTATTGAAGGAATCAGGAAGGATATCATCATTATTTAAGGATTCATCCTAGACCATAGTAAAGGAGGGAAATTTAAATTTAAAGTTTCGTAAAATTCCGCGGAAAAGAAGAATAAAATTTTAGGCTTAGAAAGGACTTAGAGAAGAATCGATTGTTATTTAGTGAGGTTTGTTGGTGAGGAAGTTAGGTTTGGTATTAAATGAAACAAACCTGGAGGTATTCCTTTGCATCTTCATCTTTGAAATAAGGATTTTGAGAAGCTTTATTTCTTACATGTGTATCTTTTAGTAATTTATTAATTTCTTGAGATTTTAGCCTTCTGATTTTTATTTTTAAATTTGGAGCCATATTCAGATAGAGGATTATACTTTGAATCAAAATTTCGTAAAGGATTTCGTGAGAAGCTGAAAAATTAATTTTATCCCTACAAATTTTCTGAAACATTAAATTTTAATGGCATAAATTTATCTTTGCTTTGTCGAATAAAAATTGCGCTTAGAATCTTGATAATAAAAGTCTACTATCAGTTTCTATAAGCATGAAACCACTATATCAAATTCGAAATAAATTTTCATATCTTTAATTAATTTATTTTTAAAAAGTTCTTCTGAATTAGAATCAAGATATCTATAATTACTTATAAGTTTACTAATGAGAAATTCAAACTATTTAAAGCTCTAAGGGCAACCCTAAAGCTAACATTACAACTAAAACTTTTCCTACACTATCTCAAAATACCCAAAACTTTATCATACCTCTCCCCAAAAACTAAAATCCCTCTCTAAACCCAACCACCACCAACTAAAGACCCCAAAACCTATCCCTCCCCTCTCCTCCTCCCTTCAAAATTCCCACATATCCCCTACAACCCCCCTAACCCCACTCCCTTCCCCCCAACTATCCTTCTCCCGTTCAGAAGATACCTCTGTTCTTCTTTTAAGTCTATATGGCTTACCTCTGCCTCTTGGGTGCTGGGAGATCTCGGTAGGCTTCTTGGTGTAGAGAGAATTAGGGGGTTGACGGCTGTAAGAAGACATTTTAGGGAAATATTATATATTATTTAGGGCAAGGGAGTTTATAAGGGGTTTTGGGGTTTTGGGGTTTTGGGGTTTTGGGG